ATATTGTGGGTAAATAATTGAACATATATCGGTAACTTATGTTTAATAATAAAAAAAATAAAAAAACTGTTTTGGTATAATTGACAAACTTGAAAAGTTTAAGATAAACTGCGTTTTATAGAAATATTCTTCGCTGATAATGTAAACAATAGCATAGCCATCCTTATTCCTCAATGCTATTTTATCGTTTCCGTAAATGTAATGCCTTTTTACCATGGTCTCAATTATCGTTTTACAATACAGTCCGTCAAATATCAAATCCTGGAAAAGCAGACACTGTATAGGCCAGCATACATTGTACTAAAGTTCACTGTATCTATTTCTATAACTCGAAAACAAATAATTAAAACAAAAGTAATCTGCCCTTTCTAAACAAATCTATCTTTTTTCTTGCATATACTTTGGGCAGTTTCTATGTATATCAATTGTTTCTTGCATTGGAGGTTTCATTTAAATTTTGATAAAGAAAAATATATAATAAATGCAAAAAAGATTCATTATCGTGTTATTATTATTTTTATTTTTTTGCAGTATATAGGAGACTGGTATGAACTATATAAATTCCGTGCCAGTTTCGAGACAGGAGAGAAGTGTATTGTAGCAAACTACACACTTACACCTGCCAACCATATCAAGGTCAAGAACACAGGCATTGAGTAAGTGCACAGGGGTTACTACCGTAAATGTTGTTCTTTATATATTACTGTTAAAGGTGTGGGGAGGGGGTGAGATCCCAAGAGAGTTGTAATATCAAACTTTTACCATGCTAACATAATAAACTGAAAAGTCAATTAATCAAATAAAAAAAAAAAAAAAAAAAAAAAAAAAAAAAAAATGAAATAACATATCATTGTTTACTAACAATATATTATGCATTATCAATGCAGTGGTTTTAGAAATTCCAAAAATGAAAAGTTAATTGCAAATTATTTGACCAAATAGTATCGGTATTTATAAAATGTAGTTAATATAATTGTCTTAGTGATATATAATTTCCCATTCACAGCCCTAAAACAGGTAACTACTCCATAGCTTACGGAGATGCCTTCCAAGGTGACCTCAACTCACCAGCTAAGCTCAAAATCAGATTTGCTGCAAGTGAGTATTTAACATATACGATTTCACTGTTCAATATTTTCATGGATGTATAATTCCATTTGTTCAGACGATGATAATTTTCATACCGTGCACAGTTATGTTATTGTATTCAAGTTAAGTTTACGTTTCAATAATAAAAATACTGATTTTTGTTTATGACATTTCTTATGAACTTCTGTTTCTAGAAAATAAACATTATAAATACAAATTAAAGTAATTAAGAAACGTCTTTGCGACATTTAGTAAGTCGATGCATAAAGCAAAACGAAGCAAATATTTACCACGCCATTATTGTCATTTCGTCCTTTTAAGACTCATAAGTTGTACTAAAAGGCAAACATCGATGTCTTACGTGTTCAAAAGCATATTCAAAAGGGTTACTGTGCTTATGAAACCTTTAGAACGTTTCAAATTTATTTGCAACATATGGCTACAACAGTTTGGTGATACTTAAATTAGAATTTCATGTAAATTCCGTCCGAATAAATTCCATCTGCAAGGCTAAGATCGACCTTGGGGACTGATAGTCTACCGATGAGTCAACTACCTTGTGACATGAAATATTCACAAGAAATATATAAATAAGTAATACACAGTTTGAGTGATGTTCCTAATCAATTACATTGTATTCTCCTTCCAGACACGCCGTATGGTAACTACTGGGTACTGAAGACAGATTACACCTCATACACACTCATTTACTCGTGTACCGACATCCTCGGACTCAGCCATCTTGAATTCGCTTGGATTCTTTCCCGACAGAGGTCGCTACCTCAAGCCAAAATTGATGAACTCTTTAAAGTTTTTGAAAGTTTCCATATCGATACAAACCATTTTCTCAAATCCGATCAAACTAATTGTGGAACAAAATAAATTCATTGAACATATCGTTCATTTGTTAAAATGCCATGCTCTTAATTTTTTAACTAACATTTTATATGCATCCGTTCTTATTAATTGAATATTGATATTGTTTGACCTTGTTGTAAATGTTTATTGTGAAAACAAATGTGTTATTTATAAAAATAAAATGTAATTTACAATTTTATATTTGTTTTGTTCATGAAGGATTACCGTATAACTGGCAAACACTGTAACTGTAATTATGAAAACTGTGTTTTCCTGCATGGCTATCGCTTTCGAAAACCATTTCTCAAAGAAAACTATACATTGCGAGACTTTGATGAAATAAAGAATTTGTAATAAACAAAATGTAAGCAACAATAGTGTTCTAATGTAAAATCTAAACGGGGCTAGACTGGGATTCGAACCATGGACTTCAGATTGTTGTACCATCGCTCTAACTGATGGAGCAACCTGGTCAAGTTTCCTGGCCCAATTGTGCTATTTGTATATCCAAACGAAAGTTAAGGTTAGGTTACTGAAAATAGGAAAAACACAGTGTAGTGGGACAGAGATCCTTTAAATTCAGTTATTATATATAATGATTTATTTATGAAGTGGTTTGTTTAATATAATTAAGATTTGGGGTTTTTTCTCGTTATATGTCGAAACTGTTGCTATGTTTGTAGTTATGTTGATGTTGTCCATCACGGTTATTAGTATGACTGCTATTACAGAATGTACTTTGCGGTTATTATTACAACTGTATTTATGTGAACTGCGCATGCTCATATGTATGTAAGCTACCGCCATGATGGAATAAACATGTGCCTGTCTGCAACTCTGATAATGTTGTCAGTGTACTGTTGTTCCCGAAAGCACCGGACACCACAACTATTTACTCCAAAGCAACTTCGTAAGAGAAGTTATCAGTCGTTTGGTCCCAACTATCTAAAATTTGGTTAATTAAATGTTTTAATTATATATATATAAATCAAAGTACCAAAGTACTGTAAGTACTGAAGGAGGCGTTAGTCAGATATTTGGACATGGAAAATAATGAAATGTAAAAGGTGAAATGAAATAAAGCAATGAAAGATGCCAACACGATTATTGATAAACATTCAAGAGCAACTACTTATTTTTAAACTTAGAACTACTAACCATCAATGTTACCCGCTTATCAAACACTAGAACTTCAGATAATTTTCAACTAGAACTGTCGCCAGGATGGCTGACTAATACCCCCGCTTCCCCATCCAGTCTGATTCCCACTCTGACTCAAACACTTATTAATAAATATAAAGATAATCGAATGATTTAATTTCTGTTATGCACATGTTCATATTATACATAATAAAATTACCGATACAAAAAGTTGTGATTTATTTGTGATTGGCTGTTTTGAGAACTATTTTTTATTGTAGTAAAACGGTTGTCCTCATCTGTTACTACTATCTCGCAGTTGTCTCCCTTCCAATAGTATTTTTTTTATAATTTGATAAATTCAAAAATCGATATAGGGGAATAAAGAATAAAGATTTTACAGTCAATATTCTTATTGTTATTGAAAATAGTGTAAACTAAATGTTAAAAACAATATCAGGATATTTGAATTAGTTAATATTTCTTACGTATAGTATGAACGAAGTGCTACAAAAGTTGTCTCCCTAGCACTTCAGTAACGAAGATTTCCGGCAGACGTCGCAAATTCCTTACTTCCGCTGGCTGGAAAGAAATTACTGAACTCACGTCAATACGGCAGGCGTTATAAAGGCCTCCATAAAAAAAAAAAAAGGCTTAGGACCGATCACAGCATAATTTCTGTTATGTCGGCTTTCCGTTTATCTTCTGCAACTTGTACGTCAATATTTGTTAATCAAAACATACATGTCGGTTGAGCATTAAAAAATATCTTTTGTCTTTTTAATTCCATCCATATGGGTAAGCTGCATGAAAGCTCCGTTTTATTTTGTATACTGTTTGTTAACATTATATTATAAGATGGGCTAGGCAAGCACCGGTCCCTGTCTTAATCCTCGATTGTATTTGATTTTGCCTTGCGACTTCAGCATTTTTACTTCTGCAGCATTGAAAATATTCTATTAAGTACCAACACAACTTAATTGTTTACTTTATGGTATTACTTAGCTTTTGAGCTAAAAGCTTTACTATTTCAAGTTCAACAAAAGTGAAAACTACTTAGAATCCTAGATACATACCTAACAAAGACATCAGAAGACATTTCTTGGCATGTGTAATGGCATAAAAGAGCGCCACAGGATTCTGCTTTTGACAACCGGAAATTTACAAGCCAAATTGGTGAAGCGGGACGAGAACACACCCTACCCTTTGACCCCATATAAATCCGCCATCACATATTAAAATCTACTAAAACTATGCATTTGTTCTTATGTTAAATACCTGTAGATCTCATTCAATAAACAATTTGTCAACAATTACAAATTTAAATTGCTCGGAGGCACTGTATTTAACAAATTATCAGAGTATGTTGTATTTCATGGAGCTTAAAATACTATGAAATCACTCATTTTCGTGGGAGGGGGGGGGGTAATTTCGTTGAATTTGTTGGCAATCTTCATCCACGAATTCATAGGTCCACGAAGAAATTACAAGTTTGATATGAAGCAATTCTTTAACGTTTGAGTGGGTACTTGTAATCCACAAATTCATGTACCCATGAAAAAATGTTTTGTCGGGAGACTTCCACATTTGGACACCACGAAAATATCTGGTTCACAGTAACCTGCCATCTAAGTAAACATATTTGACCATAAACTCTGTGTATTTGATAATGATATTAAATAAATAAAATATTGATAAATATAAAACAAACAGGTAAAACCAATATGTACAATTTGAAATTTTATTTTGTAAATGATAGCGTGACATTTGTTAAGGACATGAAGAGGATCAAATTGGAAAAAAGCAACGAATTAATGAACGCGATTCACTGATGGATATTATCCCCCTTTATTGCAAACAGAAGAGCTGTTGATAAGAAATCTGTCGTCCAGGGTTCGACTCCTTTAGGTGACATTGAGAAAATGGGATTTTTGTTACATTATAATGAGTTATATATAGATGAATATTATTATGATTTTTAAACATAACTGAAAAATTAACTGATCGAAAATAAGCTTTTAGCTTTGACTACTTCAGAAGGAACACTTCCTTCAAAATAAACTCACACACACAAAACAATATATTGCATCACATCTAATGATAACATGTGCGGGAACCACGACAGTAAACTAAAGTAAGAAATGGTAGGTAAAACAAATAAGAAGAGTGAAAAAAGTTATATGGAAAAGCAAAATAAAAGGGAAGAAAAATTATATAGAAAATCAAAGTAAAAGGACAAAAAAACAATATAAAGAAAAGCAATGTCATATTAAGATGCAAAATCATCGTATTCTTATGTCCTGAGGTTGACATAATTCATCACAAAGAAATGAATAAATGAACTTATCTATATATTAATGTGTCGTATAGATAGATGCATGTAAGATAACTACGTGTGATGTTCAAATTCAAACACAGAACATAGCAATGTAATTATAACTTCCTTAATTCGAATTAATGCTTATCCAAATAAACTCATCCACAGAATACTTTAACTTTAAAATTAATAATAACTCAAGATTTGTTCTGGCATACAATAATCCAGATTAACGATTTTAACACGCTCATGTTAATTGGTAACCAAATCACACGTATTCCGTCTTTGCGTATTGCAGAGTATCTTCTCTTGGGAGCAGGTATTGATTGTTTCGTCACTTGTTTGCGAGAGTACCGTCATCAATTTTTGAGAAAACGACGTAATTTTCTCACACAAACCAATGACGTAACAATCAATACCTGTTCCCAAGAGAAGATAACTCTGCAATACGCAAAGACGAAATAGAATATCGTACTCTCTTTGGACCACAACAAACTATATGTCTTTTCACATGTAATATATAATATGGAAGTTATATGAACTTGTTGTTTTGTTAGTCTTAAAATATGAACAGTTTGTAACACTCTCAAACATGATATATTTCAGATTTTGCAACAACGAGATCATGACTTCCAATCATCATGACGTAATCATTTAAATCAAACTTATTAGATCTGTCTCGAAATGTTCTTGATGTAAACTGCCTTCTGTGTGGTATGATAGTGGAGTTTAATTCCATGCATGACCTTGGGTCATCAATACATTATGTAACATGAATAATTTCTGCCGTCAGTCTCTCTAGAATAGCCATTAACCATTCATCGAATTCTGGAACAAAAGGAAAGTGTATATGCAAATCAAACGTGTAAAAGAATTAAATATAAAAGTCTCAAAAAATTTAAATTGTTGATTTTTGAAAAACAGACATGTATACACTACATTTTCAAAGTTTCAAAACTAGAATATATGATAATTACCTATGGTTGAACTTAGAACCAATATTCATCAAATAAGATTTCATTAAAGAATTAAAAGTATAACGGATGATAAAAAATTTTCCTATATCCTTTTATTGAATTAATCCTGTATAGCATACCGTATATGGATTAGATTTGATGCCGTGTTATTTTGCGTTTTATTCATTTTTTCCGAAAAATATCCCTATTAATAGAACCTTAGATATCGAAATGACGGATTTGTGAAATTATAATTCTTTTAAAATATTCGACATTTGTTTACCTTATCGTCAACTTGTCTTTTATTCTTTTTACACAGTGCGCAGATAATTCCGGTAGCTATGCCGCCTGCCACTATAAGACATGCCCCAATGATGATTCCCAACACTAAGAACGAAATAAAACACAGTAAGGAATTATTCAACCTAACCGGTAATGAGATATAGTCGGCGAAGAATAAAACATTAGCAAAATATTGATTAAATATGTGAATTGTCTTTATTGTAATAAAAAGAAACATAAACAAAAACAAAAAAAGTGTACAAAACATTCCTCGATACAAAATGACAAGATCTTAACCAGAAAACAGCACAATTCGAAGTTGAAACAAGGTATAGAATACCATCAAATCACAAGGATAAAATACAAACTCCAATTCGTTTCGTTCCGGAAAGATTCTCTATCTATTATTTCTTAGAACGTATGGGGTACATTATCATCTCTCCTCTTGTCAAATACAAGGAAAATATCTTCATTTATGTTTCGTATTATGTGAGTTTACAGTAAGGCAGGAGAAGAACAATTGAAAATGAAATGGTCACGAAAATTAAGGGAGTTACAATACCCTTTGGTTGCCTTTTAACATTTAGAATAATTTGTTTATTGACATTTAGAAAAAGTTTTGTACCTGCACCACTCATTGATTGAGACTCTTTTTCTGTGTCCGCTGCGAAAGGAAAATTATAAGATGAGAGTTTGCTATTAAAATGATAATATGGAAAACTTATTAACTGCATATTATTCATAATACACGAGGTGTATAGTTTCACTTCCATCTTTCTTTTTTCTCCAAAAGTGTCGATCCCGAATTTTAATATCTCCTCTTTATTCAAACAAACATTTAAAGAGAAAATCAAGTGTTCCTAATTTTCGCTAGTAAGGTTTTTGGAATTTCAGTTGCGAATACATTTTGTAGGAAATAATATTATCTTTATTCCAATGCTTTGCTTATGATTATGTACTTCAGAATTTAATATTTTCTATTGTTTTGACTATAAATATGGTCTTTATATTATGTAGGTACCATATCTTTACCTGGTAATAACGTTGACGCTGTACTTTTTGTACTTTTTGTACTTTGTACTTCTGTTGTTTGGGGGTGAACAGAGGATTGTGAAGCTGCAAGAAAGTTCGAATTGATTAATTGATGAAAAATAATGATACAATAAAATTGTTCGCTACTTACCATTATCAATTTGTAATAATTATGTAAATAAACTGTATTTATTTTACAGAGATTATGAAAAACATTTACAACTTTAATTAATCACTCTTGTTGACCCGAATTTTAGCTCGCGTCGGTCTTAATGGGGGAGGAAATCGTTGTACTAAGGGTAGACCCATGTGATCGGTAAGGTGACCCTATACCTTTTCACGTCCGGTCGAAGATATGAACCCCTTCCGCCTTGATAAAAGGCAAGTGCGCTATTCACTGCACCACACGATATAAATGTCATAACAATATTAATACGGTTGTGTGTTTAGTTTGTTTGTTTGTTTGTTTGCTTTTGTTTAACGTCCTATTAACAGCTAAGGTCATTTAAGGACGGCCTCCCCTGTGTGCAAGATGCATGCGTGTAGTGTATGTGTGTGTATTTTGGGAGGCTGCGATATGTTCGTGTTTGTCTCCTTGTGATAGCGCGGAACTGATGCCGACTTTATAGTGCTACCTCACTGAAACATACTGCCGAAGACACCCAGCAGGACGCCCCACCCGGTCACATTATACTGACAACGGGCGAACCAGTCGTCCCACTCCTAATTTGCTGAGCGTTAAGCAGGAGTAGAAACTACCATTTTTAAAGACTTTGGTATGTCTCGGCCAGGGGACAGAACCCAAAGCCTTCCTCACAGGGGCGAACGCTCAACAAATGGCCAAAAGTGAGGCATTGTCAAGGGAGACATTAGGAAGAAGAAAGTTATTTAGAAAGGAGAGAAGAGATAAGGTCCCAAATTTAGTCGCCTCTTACGATCATGCAATTGGGGCAGCAGGTACAATTCTTACGCCCTACCTGCAGGTTTAGAGTCTTAATGTGAAAGTATTAACAATATTATTTGGACTCGGCCTCCACTAAGACGACCGTGAGTCGATTTTTCGATAGGAGGGGAAAATGCAGTCACCTGCCCGATCACGTGGGTTTTTAACGATTATTCCGGCTTCCTCCCACATTAAGATCCATACGCGCTATCATCTCGGCCAACAAGAATGATTAATATAACGATTGACCAAGCCCATGAACCGAAGGTTAAAACATTAAGTACTACCGTATGCATAATGTCGGAAACTGCTCAAAGTTATATAAATGAGAGGTACAATATCATATAAAGGTTTAAACTTGTTCCACTAATAAAGGTTTTATTAGCTTGGTTAGTATAGTGTATTGACTTTAAATAACAAGCGGTTCAAATATTGTTCTTTTATATAATACAAATAATGGAACTTTTCATAAATACTAATAGTCATCAGTACTCAAATTAAAAAAGTGGGATTATCAAACAAATTGCTGCACAAAGTTGCTTTGTCTTTTTAGTATGCAGAAATATATGAAAGGAATTAAATAAGGTAACACAGTAAAGAAAGTCAAGGACCAACACAGCAGCAGGAACAAACAGTATGATGTTAATAGGATGTTCGTATTAAGAATATTTTGTTACCTGTTGGCGATGCCGTTGATGTATGCAAATGTACCGTATGATTAATTGTTGCGGTGGAGCCTGAAACAACGTATATTGATATATGACCAATTTAATTTCAATGACATTTAAACATGAATTAAAAAGAAAGAAAAAGGCACGTTTTCAATCAGAAATATTTCCATATATCACTGGAGAGTAGAGCAACATAAAACAACTGCCCTAAACAACCGGATCAGTGTGGCATTATCAGTTAAACGATGCGTATACAATATAACGGTGATCAAGCCTAAGCTGTCTGAAAAACGGGATGAAAAGTGAAGGTATATGTTTATTCAAGATTTTTTTTTATGGCATCCTAAAACTGAAAAAGCCGGGAAAGTGAACACAATTATGAAAAAAATAATATTACGAACACCTTGCAATTGAACGTGATTTTGATGGAAATTAGACGAAAACGTTGTCGACATTTTTCAGTGACTCGTAAACAAAATTGGTTTTGTAAGAGTATTTAGGACGAATATTGCTTATTATTGTGCACGTTACTGCAAAATGTTTTGAACGGCTCTGCTACATGTAATTCATTTGATCTATTGTGTGGTTACCCTTCATACCTATTCAATAACAAATATAAAATCCAATGAAACAACAAAACATTGATCAAAATCGTTTTTGTTTACAACCAATTTGATATATAACGATTTGATAATTTTGGAATTTTAGTTCGTGTGAGAAGAATTAACTTAGGATGAAGAAACAGAGTGTGTCAGATTATGTACCTATATGGTCAGTTTATAGATCCACTTATATGTTTAACATTGCATATAATGTATAGCATTGAATTATACTGCGTTCCGTGATACCGAATGGCACAACGTTATAATCAAGGATATGATGATATATAGATAAGTTATACAGAAACTCAAGTTACCTTGGCGGGAAGGCGATGTCGTAGGATTTCCATTGTCAACATGAACAGTAACCGCATGGTCTACTGGAGAGGTTGGACCTGAAAAAAACCGAGCCTAATTCTTAGAATTCAATGAAATAATAACAGGAATATATTTGAGAAGTTTCGCCACATTACGGGAGAGACAGGTAATGAATTACAACCTATGATTGGAACTTAAATGTAATGCAATATTATACAACTATTGTATACTCCAGCTTCGAATGCTTGCATAGAAATATACTTCTGCGATATAATTTAAATTTGAGCAATTGTAATTTTGAACACAAAAAAACTACTTTATATTTTCAATATATGCTAAGGATAACTTGTTAAGAATATTTGTCCCAATTCAAGTTTTAGCATTGTATATTAGTGTTTCGTTTATCAATGACAGAAAAAAATCGTAAAACATCTAAGTTTAAGAAGGCAACGTATTGCAAGGCAATCCATAGTCCCCCACCGGTAATGATTTCTATTTTAACAAACAGTAGACAAATGTCAGGATCAACCTACTGCTAGGAAAGTCTCCCGATACTTACTTCTTGCACTCCGACATTCCAAATCTGGTCACTCCAGGTAAAATAGTACAGAAATATGTCCCGGACAATTTTTTTCAAATGTTAAGGTCATAGGTCATCCCAAGGTGTCCTTGTACACCAAATCTGGTTACTCCAGATGAAATAGTATAGAAGATATGACCTGGACAAACTTTTTCGAAAGTTAAGATCAAAGGTCAAAGCATAGGTCACAGTGAGGTCATATGACCTTTTTCTTGCACTCCGCCATCCCAAAAGATGTCCTGGTACATCAAATCTGGTTACTCCAGGTGAAATAGTGTAGACGGACAGAGGGACGGAAGAACGGACGGAATGCAAACTTAACCCCCCATCCCCCCATTCCCATCCCCCCTTGGGAACTGTTTGGGGACTTATATAGAAAAAAATACTACTGAAATATGTTTAGTTTTATATCAAACATCGTGCATTTCGAAACTAGTTTTTATACATACATCTTCCCACGTAGGGTTCCCAAAAGCGAACTGTCATACTGGCGTTTTTAGATTTCTGAGACATCAAACCTCCTCCCCAGTTTTGGTTGATGTATATCAAATATCCTTCAGCATGGTTCAAGTGTTGCCATACGTGAATTACTCTGGGACCATATGAGTACACTAGTCCACCAAAAGATTCTGTCGGGTCGGCGTTCTGTACAGCTCCCATTCCCGGGAAGGAAAAACCATCGTTATTACCATCGATAGCTTTCACCTGTTTATTTTGTATAAGAAACAACAAATAAAGTTCTGTCATATTCATCTCTTCTTCAGGTTTATGACTAGGATTTAATACGTTCTGAAGATATTGTGTCCATAGTTTGATTATTCAATTTTTAGTATAGCATTTAAAACCATTGATAAAAAATTAGAAGCATTAATGCTGACAAACTTTACAACGTAAATATTGTAAACAGCAACTGTATTTTCGTCTCCTTTTAACTGATTTTAGATTTCAGGAGTTTATCTGCAATAAGATTGCCATTCTTTGCGATTTCTTAATTAAAATTTTGAGAAAAAAAATATAAACATAGTAACAAACAATATATTAATATTATTTATTTTGAAAGTAGGTAAAATACAAACTGTCAACAGGATGGCGGGGACTAAACCATGGGTCGATTTCAACAATGATGAAAGAGAAGGAATTACATCTCTAAGTATATATAATCACCATACTACTATTTTTAAAATGAAAGTTTTGTCAAATTTCCAAGATGACATCATGCTAAATACATTTACATTAAAACTATCTCTACAAAATAAGACTACAAAATACTAACGGTAACGTAAATCATCCCAGTGTCAATGTCCAAGGAGTTCCCACTTCGTGTTGATAAGTGATGCGAACGCTTTTTTCTTATAGTATTTACCAAAGATTTAGTGTCGCTGTATATGGCGTCACCTTTAAAATAACTCCACACCCTAACTCTTATGGACCCCTCATTCCAAACTTCCTTTGACCCACGACCCCATCCATCGGCTGTGCTGAATAGGCTTCCTAAAAAATAGTTAATAATTTTTATTGTTAAAATCAAATGACTAAAATATATCCTGTAAATATCTAATATTGTCTTCTCTGACATGTAAGATGTAAAATCATGATGAATTTTCAATATCTTAGCTACAAAATCTGAATATCGGTGTCCTGTGTTATATGCTTTGCGAATGATATAAACTTGTGGAAATACTTAAACACACATCTCCTTATAAAATTTTATTCTGAATTTTAATGACGTCATGATACTTACAGTTTCAGAGGGATATCTTCAACGGCTGACACTTCGATTGTATCTTAAGTTTTTCATCGCTTGTGAATACGATGTGATAACGAAAAATAATTTCAAACAATACCAAACATTAACATAAGTTTAACAATTTTGCTCGAAATAATGCAAGATTGTCATCAGACGTCAATTTTCATTTTTGTTGTCGCATCCATGATCGCAGCCGCATTCGGATGTCATAGTAATGATTAGGACGGCATATTTCATGAGACAACTTTTTTTCGCAGTCTCTAATTTTTCAAGGATTTCCTCTAATGGTTAATTTCGCGGGAAACCACTTTTAGCGGATATCATGTTTAGTGACATCAATAAACAAAGAAAAACAAAATACCGCAGAAATCGTAAAAAAATAGAAAACAACGAGTAAACTTATTTTACAGTAAAATACGTCTCTGGATTAGCTACTAATGATAAATAGGCGAATACCAGTCACCTAGACTAATTTGGTAGTCATAAGTTTTGAAGAGCGTATTTACCTGAAGTTTTGTTATATTAAAAACCTGTTTGTTTTCTTTATAAATTGTCTAACATCAGCTCGTGCGGTGATGCGTGTAAGACATGCAAATTATTTTATAAAAAAAACACCGCCCTAAAATCTGACAGCAAATCAATTATGGTAAGACATATATAACTTACCTGAGTCGTAGCCAGGAACCCATATTCTAACGTGACTATCATTGAACCCGTAAATAACACCTCCCCATGCCGACTGCTGATCAAGTGCTTGAACTGTCATTACTGATCCTGTAAGTAATAAATTAAAATCAGTTCTTAAGTTATTTAATCCAACAATTTCATGTCCGCCAAGAGATTAAACACTATTGCACATCCGAGCAATAGTTATTTTTAATACTGCAACATTTTCGTCTAATTATGTTTTCCCTCTTTCTCGGAAAAATACAGTTTTGCCCGATGTTTTTATTTCGCCCTTTACATGAAATTACTTTATTTGGTATGTCGTTCACTAAAAATTCCATCTCATGACAAATTGGCCCATATTGCTATGGGTGAAAAAACAGGCTGAAATTAAGCTGAGGAGAAGATGTTTAGTATAACGTAGTAGACTCAACATTTCAGGTGACACCTCGCAAAGCAGATTTAAGCGTTGTTCTATTATCATTTTTCAAAACTATATGCTTTGAATACATAGTTTAAGTTAGAAATTAACTAACTAAGCATAAGTGCGTTATCATAAGAAGACAAATTAACAATAAAATTCAACCTTAGACTATGTTGCTTTATATAAAATATGATAATCAAAATGATCTCCTCTTTCATGAAAATATGCTAAAACTTAGTCTTAGAAATATGTACAAAAGAAATTGACTTACCAATACCATCGGAATACCAAGCAGAATTCTTGTCTTTTATCTGAACTGACACATACTCTGGATATGTCCCTAAACCATGTGCAATTTCTTTGAAAGATTTAGTTCCTGAAACAAACGAATGCTATGAATTACAACTGAAAGTAGTTTAATGCTTAATTTTATACATCAAGAACCACTCGTCCATACCAACGTTATTGGTCTTCTCTTTTGTATTTGCCTTAGTCGTTATAGAGAGATTTAAAGGAACTTTCATTTTCATTTTTTGTCGTCTCATATTACGGAACCCCTTCGATAAATTGTATCTCTTTTGTCCTTAACTACCGCTGATGAGACCTATGACCGATGGACTTATCTGCCGTATGATTCAGTGAAACGTTTACCTTTATTTAGTTTTCTAAATTGATCTTTAAGAAATGGTTCTAAACGTCGTATTTCTAGTAATTACTAATCAGATACAAATATATGTTTAGTTAGCACCTAAATTAATGCTTGATTCGGTTAATAAGCCAAGCATCATTTTTGTCGGATGATAAATGCATTAATTCCCATTTCATACAGTCATGAAATAAAAATTTAAACCGTTTTCATATATAATGTAACACGAAAATTAAATTATACAGATCCTTTAAACAGTCGAAACAGAAATGCATTTAGACATTTCTTTTCGAATAATATTGAAAGTAGGTACCATTGCACAACTCACCATTATTTACTGCCATTGGGAACCAGTCCGAATCGAACTGAGGTTGAGGAAAACTACAATTCTTCCACACTTTTGCCCTAACTTCTGCCCTATCTTCAGTCTCATGGTAGGGGCCGTTCCACGTGTCATTGCCTGCGCACGAATTTAGAAATCGTATTGGCTAATGTTTAAGCTGTCTGATATGTCATTTTGAGTGTGATTAAGAAGCACATTATATGTATGTAAAATTATACACATTATACTATATATTGGCAATGTCATAATTAAAAACGAACCCATATTAAATGCTTTGTTATACAGCTGTAAGACTATATTATGATAAATGTAATTTAAACTAAACTTATTTCGTTTAACCAATCACAGAGCTGAAACACTGGGTATACACAGTTAATGGAATAGATTTGCCGACGTAAACATTAGTTGTTCCAAACGTCTTTCGACACAAAAAGTAAAGCTGTGCAAATTTTATATCATATATTCAGTAACTATAAATGCATCTTGTATATAGTTCTGCCAAACTTCTAATTAGTGTAATACACTTATAAGTGTTTGTAACTGGAGAAAAATAAAATTTTAATTTGAAAAAAAAACCCGTTCTACTTCTAAGACGACAAAAAGCGGCAAAGTTGGATATTTATATGATTTCCAATGAGGTAGTTATCTTGCACAGTCATGCCTGGTCTTATACCTGTCAATAATTACATTATTTGAAGTATGATACAGACTTTAATTACATAGAAGTTGTCAAAATAATACTGCAAACCGTGGTCAAGCAAATCCATGAATACTGATTATCCCAACAGCGACAGTGTTTAAAAATGATAGTCAATACGTAAACAACACCGAAACTCGAATTGATAATCGACAAAAATTCGCAAACTAAATATACATGGACTTTATTGAAAAAATAAAAGGGAAATAAGGCCAGATGTTCTCAAAAACTTTGACTCTTGAGTTTGAAAGTAGATGTCGGTTTGACGTGTGTTTTAACACCTCTGATTTCAGGGGAAGTGTGATTTGACTAATAAAATTGGCCAACGGAAAGTCCTGCCTATGATTTAGAAATTAAGAAACATAAAGCATTAAAATTATACACTTCATGCTAGATATGCTATTTTTTGTTATCATCACGTTACCTGTATAGATAATAGTTCCAGAAGAACTGCCGTCGTTTTTGTTTGGAACATATAACACAACAGATATTTTGTTGTACTTATACACCACGCCCCCGTAGGGCCCTGGCTGATCGTCATCCCGTTGGGCTGAGCCAAGTCCTGGAAACACGTGATCTGTTATATTTATAGCCCTGACCTGCACGTCCACTTTGATTGGCACTTCATTTAATCCATGTTCTACAATTGCTTCAGATTGACCAGTTTGGGCCTCCATAATGGTGTATGGACTTGTGAAATCGGGAGGTTTAAAACACCCGCCACAGTCAACAGCAGCTTCTGTAATAAATAAATTTGGAGTTAGATTATTAATTAATATAATATCACAACCTAGTTCGTAGGTCGTCTCAAAGAGGTTCACAAATTATTATCCGTGGTTAAAGGGCCTTTGCAACCAGCCAATATCTTTCTCAACTCCCTGGGGGCTGACATTTCGGCGCTCACAGCTAGCATTCAACAATTCTAGCACTGCCCAACCACATACTCATTTACAGCTGAGTAGACTTGTACAAGCGGAGGAACGTATCTTAC